GCAGCATTTTACATTCCCACCAGCCTGTAGGAGGGTTCCAACTCCTCTACATTCTCATTCACACCTGTTTATATGTGTGTTTTTGAACACAAGGCAATCTTGGAAAGTGGACAAAGTTTGACTCGTGGCCCCTCCCAGTCCCCTATCTTCCCTCTCCTTCCGAACTAGGGTTTCTTCCAAGTACCCAGTGCTCTCCCCAGGCAGTGTCCCTTCCCACACCCATATGTTGCTGTGGTCCAGCTTTAAAACGCTCTCCTCACTTCCTCAGCCATTATGCTTTTTTAGTAGAGAACTCTGAGGGGGTATCACATTCTAGAAGCACAGGTTAACAAGCCAAACATAATTTAAAATAATTTAAGTTCTTCTCTTGATTTCTCAACACTGAGAAAGCTGCTGGGTAGACACTTCTGGGTGGTCCAAACTCTCTTCCAAGAAGGACTTGCTTCCCAGCTGGGGGTTGGGGGAGAAGCAAGTAGTGTAGTCAGCTGCTAAGAGTTGCTGCTTTTGAGTTCTGTCCCCTTCTGTGGGACAGGGCAGCCCACATTCTGTGACTAAGCAGATTGGAGATGTAAAGACACATTCATTCTGGCTTCTCACAGAACACTCACTCCAGAGCTCCTTGCCCAATTGATCAAGTCTTTGTTGAGCCTGCTCTGCAGTTCAACTTCTTCCTCTGCCTAATCCTGTTTCCTACTCTTTCCCTTCACAGGTGTTTATTCCTGATAAACACCTCTGCACTGCAAACCGCATCTTAACGTCTGCTTCCAGGGAGCCCAAGCTACGAGATTTGGTACCAAGAGTGGTCTAAGAAAACAGGCAGTAAAATAGAGGTTTGGAGCAGTTATTAATCACCTTTGGCTGGCAATAAGAAGTCCAATTACTGGTGGTAGGTAGGAGGAACACAGCCCTGGGGCAAGCTGTCAGCCCAGCTTTTACACTTTCACCTGTAGTGACTTGGGAGCGTATAGTGGTAGTACAGAGTGAACTAGGTGGAATGACTTACAAGGCATTTGAGATGTATGAAGAAAAGAACAGCTGCAAGGGTAAGAATATTAGACAGCAACTGCTAAGTGCCTGTGATGCTCTACAGAAAGATAATGAATATTTAAGGCCTGGGTACTGGGCAGGTAAAAGCCAGGTGAGAGCCAGAGGGCCTTACAGGAAGAAGCTCTCTTCTCCTCTTGGAGGGTGGAGAAAGTTAAGGTCCAAGTTCAGGAACACTGAACAAGCAATCAAGGCCTCTGAAGATTTTGACTTAGAGACTCAGAACTTTATAAGCCTGCAGATTACACACTGCTCATCTACACTATGAGGAGCTCACACCCTTCCATCTCTCTACCCCAGGAGACAATGCAGGAGCCTGTCCTTCTTGAAGGCATCCTATGATATTTACTCAGATAACTGTGCAATGGAGAAAGAGGAACACCTGGACATTTCAAGGATTACCGGAACAAGGCCTGGGTAGACACTGATACCCACAGACCCAAAGTATCACCACAGTCCCCCTGTTATAGTGAAAGTGTATGGAGATTAGGTAATATATGAAATTCTAACCAAATTCTGGACCCATCCTGTGATCAGTTCTCCTGTCACCAAATGTACAACTGGTATCAATATACTTGATGTTGATCCCACATCCTTCAACTCCCACATCAGATCCCTAGTCTTTGGGGCAAAAGCTATCAAAATTGGAAAGGCCAAGAGGAAAGCTCTGAACCTGATCTTCCTCCCAGATAGTGGTACTGCATTCTGGTGGTAAAAGCCAGGTGAGAGCCAGAGGGCCTTACAGGAAGAAGCTCTCTTCTCCTCTTGGAGGGTGGAGAAAGTTAAGGTCCAAGTTCAGGAACACTGAACAAGCAATCAAGGCCTCTGAAGATTTTGACTTAGAGACTCAGAACTTTATAAGCCTGCAGATTACACACTGCTCATCTACACTATGAGGAGCTCACACCCTTCCATCTCTCTACCCCAGGAGACAATGCAGGAGCCTGTCCTTCTTGAAGACATCCTATGATATTTACTCAGATAACTGTGCAATGGAGAAAGAGGAACACCTGGACATTTCAAGGATTACCGGAACAAGGCCTGGGTAGACACTGATACCCACAGACCCAAAGTATCACCACAGTCCCCCTGTTATAGTGAAAGTGTATGGAGATTAGGTAATATATGAAATTCTAACCAAATTCTGGACCCATCCTGTGATCAGTTCTCCTGTCACCAAATGTACAACTGGTATCAATATACTTGATGTTGATCCCACATCCTTCAACTCCCACATCAGATCCCTAGTCTTTGGGGCAAAAGCTATCAAAATTGGAAAGGCCAAGAGGAAAGCTCTGAACCTGATCTTCCTCCCAGATAGTGGTACTGCATTCTGGGAGAAAAAAGAGCTTAGTGTCACTCTTAGGAATAAAAAACATGCAGGGGAGGTGGTCCCCAAAATATCTCCATTTAATTTGCCAATTTAGGTCCTGAAGAAACCAGATGGATTCTGGGGGATATTTGTAGAACAGGGTCAATGAACTTTTTCCATAGATGACTAGATAATAAATATTTTATATTTTGCTGAACAGAGAGTTTCTGTTGCAACTACTCAATTCTGCTATTGCAGCATGAAAGCAACCACAGACAATTTGTAGATTGTTCTACATAATAACTTAAAAGATAAAACAAACCGTATTTACAAAATTAGCCAGAGGGCTGGCTTGTGGTTGCTGACTCCTGCTATAGACCACACAGTAGCCTACATCACAGCCACCATGCAAGATGTGGCATCTTTGCCAAAGAAAGTAATATGACCTCAGGAATATGGCATGTGGTCACTGATTTGGTGAATATACTTTTTTCCTATCAGTTAAGAAAGGGATCAGAAATGGCCCACATTCCTATCAAATGGACAACAATAAACATTTTCAGTGTTGCCCCAGAGCTCTGCAAACTTCTGTCCTTTGTCATGATATACTATAAGATCTGGACTATCTTGGTTTTCTTTTGAACATGTTACTGACCTATTACCTAGGGGGCATTACATTGATCAGCCCAGATGAGCACAAGGTGACCATCAGTCTGGGGTCCTTTGGTAAGAGCTCCATATATGATCTAGAAGTAGGAGATAAACTCTTGAGTATATAGGGGCAGGCAGCCTATATCCATTAAAATTGTATGGTCCCATGGTCAGGGACATGCAGGACATCCCCTCCCAAAGGAAAGACAAATTATTACATCTTACACCTCCTACCACAAAGAAAGATGGACAATGCTTAATAGGCCTCTTTGGATTCCGGAGGCAGCATATTCTACAGTTAGCAATACTCCTATAGCCCATATACTGAGTTAGGTGAGTGGCTGCTGGATTTGAGAGCTGCCAAACAGAAAATGGCTAGGCTGTAGGTCCAGGCTACAGTGGAAGCAGCCCTCTTGTGTTAGTCACATGAGTAAGCACCCTACGGTGTTGCAGGAATCAATGGTGGGAAAAGATGCTGGTGGAGTTTGTGGCAAACCCAGTGAAGAATCACAACATAGGTTCCTGAGATTCAGGAGCAAGGCCATGCCTTTCGAAAAACAACTCCTGGTGTGCTACTGGGCCCTGGTAGAGACAGAATGCCTGAAATAGGGCACCAAGTGATCAGTTTTCTAGAGTTGCCCATCATAAGCTGGGTGCTGTCAGATCCACCAAGTCATAATATTGGGCTGGCCCCAAAACAACCCTTCACAAAACAGAAGTGGCATACCCAAGACTGAGCATAAATAGGACCAGAAGGTATAAGTAAGAACTTAGACCATACCCCCACGGCCCCTACCACTATTGCACCAGCTCCCCTCCCTCAACTCTCGTTTATAGCTGTATAGGTGATTTTGTACAACTAACTGAAAGAGAAAGCTCAAACTTGATTTATGGATGCATCAGCTCAGTATGTATGCAATCTGAAAATAGATGCCTGTGGCCCTTCAGGCTCACTCAGGGCTGACCTTGAAAAACAGTGGCAAGGGAAAATTCTCCCAGTGGTCAGAACTTTGGGTACCTCTGGTTATTCACTTTGTGTAGTAAGAGAAATGTCTCAGAATATTTATAGATTCACAGGTGGTATCAAATGCGCCAGCCTCTGGTCACGTGCTTGGAAGGAAAAAGAGGAAAACTGTGGACAAGGAGTTCTAGGGGAGAATTGGTGGCTGGACATACAGGCATGGGCACCAAGTGTGAGAAGTGTGTATCTCATGTTGGCATCCACCAGATTGTGTCTATCACAGAAGAGCCAATGAACCAAGGAGACAAAGTGACCGGGCCACTTGAAGTCTGCCAGCCTTTGTCATTAGCTGTCCTAGCTGCTGGCACATGGAAGTGGCCATGGTAGCAAAGATGGAGGCAATTCATGGGCCAGCAGCATGGACTTTCTGATCTTTCTCATTTTGCTACGGGTCATCCACTTTGGGCAGAAGGGGAAAAGGCCCGAGGTTAGTTATTTCAATTGCTGATGCCCAGCAACAGAGATCAGCACTGAGCCCCTGATATGACGCCAGCCCCCAAAGAGACCCACTAGCTAACTTGGTAGGAAACTGACATTAGACCCCTTCAATCCTGGAAAGGCCAAAGTTCAGGGATACACATGTATTTTGGGTACAGATCTGCCCTTCCCACCTGTAGTCCTCAGCCCACACTACTACCCAAGGGCTTCCAGGCATCTGCTCCACTGGTATGGAAGATCCCATGTACCATCGCATCAGGCCACGGGACCACTTCCCCGAGGAGGAGCAGGAATGGGCCCAGGACCACAGGACTGCAGGCATTTCACACCTCTCAGAAGTCACCCACGGAGTGTGCTGTAACTGCTGCCTGCAGGGACAACTGAAGCACCAGGTCAAAGGCGTTACTCTGAAAGGATGGGGCACCAGTCTCTAGGGTGCAGTATATTCATGGAATGAAAGATCTTTAAATGCTGTCGCCGAGAGAAAGAACAGATGGGACAGTAAACAAGAATGGAAGGAGTAGACACACTCACCGTCAGTCTCAATGACGCAGCCAGAGGCTTCCTGCTTCCTCAGGATTGGGGTCTGCAGGTTCAGCAGACCCGGCCCTCAAAACAGCCACGTTCTTGCCAGGGGACACAGTAAGAGTCCTGAATCATAACCTATGGCTCCAAGCCGGGCATTCTGGGCTCTGTATCCAGGAACCGCAGGAGGAAGAGCGCTCACCACGTGGGCACGGGTAGTGCCTTCCATCATCAGGGTCGGGCGGCCTGTGTCGAGGACGGGGAGGAATGCGGGGGCGGCCCACTTGGGCGCCCTTCAGCTTTCCCTTGCACGGCTGTGACTGACCAGCAAGGCCTGAGAACGGCGTGGGGACCTGCACCCCAGGGCTCCTGGGGCAGAGGCCTGGGTAGGCCATGGCATCAGGCCGGCAGAGGTGGCAGCTGCGCGCGAGGGGCCCTCGGGACGCCCGTGCAGGAGAGGCCCGTGAAGAGAAGTTTGTCCGCTCACCTGCCCTTCCAGGTCCCCTCAGGAAGAGAGGCCCACGGGGCAGTGGAGGAGAAACACGGCTCCGAGCCCCACCAGGGAGAATGCGGCAGTGACAGAGCTGCCGCTCACGGGCTTCAGCCGCCGGCCCGTAGGCCGGAGGGTCCGCGGCACCCGCAGCAGCCTCCCGTGGGGCGCGGGGTAGGCGGCAGGGATGCCGCTCGCGGGAGGCGGGGCCGGCCCGAGCCCCACTCCCGATTGGCTGGGCCTAGACGGGACCGCCTTCTTCCTTTGCCCCGCCCACTTCCCTTCCCAGGTGATCACTAATAACCTTTTTGTAACCGGAACTCCGTCTTTGCCTCAGGAGAACCCGGCCTAAAATAAGCATCATGTAAACCACAGCAGTAATTCTTTATAGAGTCCCCTTTTCCTTCCGCTCCCATCAACTTTCTTCCCAAAATTTAACTGATTTCCAGTTTTTTTTCCACTGCTTCTCCAAAGCACTCTTTCTTCTCAAGCCACAGTTGCAAGTGAGCCCAGACTTCACACCCACCTGGCAGAGAAACGCCAGTCTCCATGATAACAGAGGCCTCCCCCTATTCTCTCTTCCGCTGCCCACTCTCTTTCTCAAAGTGTATTTCTTCCACAGCCACTGCCAATCCCTGGGAGGGGGAGCTCTGGATACTCACGTTACGTTTTTGTCTTAGTCACACATAACCTATCAGTGCAAATTAGTGGTAATAGCTCAATAAAGCATACCTGAGAAGCATTTGCATTTTTTAAAAAGTGATTACTACAGAGAAGAGCTCTTTAATGGAATGTCAGGCAACAATTATGTAATAACAAGGTTGAACGTTCCCTATGTTCTTCCAAATATGCACCATTACTTTGCACACAGCCCCTTGGCTCACTCAAATACCAAAGAACATTAAAACAACAAAAATAACAATGACGGAGTCCATGTTACATGCTAGATATGGGGCTGGGCTTTTTACATTCCTCTAAACCCCACATCAACTTTGTTTAGATAAATAGTTCAGGCTTGGAAAGCCTAAGTGGCTCCCCAGGACATGCAGCTTGCAAGTAGGAAAGAGAAAATCCACTCAGCTATTTTGACTTCAAGTGCCCAGCCCACTGCAAGGGAAGGAAAGCTGCTCCCAGCTGGCATACAAACACGGTGCCATTAGCAACAGCTCAACAGCACACACAGAATCATCACACATTTGGTTGTTGAATAATACTCAAAAGGCATTGTTCACCATTTAGGATCTGAAATAATGTATCAGCCTGCGAAGAAAATGGGTAGGAAATTCTTGGATCAAAAGATAAATTTCTAAAATTATCCATTAATTTTCTTCCCAAGATTTAAAGCAATAATGAAGCCATCTACATGTATGAGGGTGTAAAGACCCCATATTTGGGAGTGCGAGGTGTCATATGTGGTAGCGGTTAATTGCTATTCAGCCACTTTCACTCAGAAATGCAATCTAGATCTTAGTGACAGTTTCAGATGTGTGATCAGAGGGAATGCAGATCCCATGGCCTCAGCCTACCAAAGACCGCAGCCCTGTGACCAGGTTTGGACCGGTGAATGACGGCTGATATGACAGAGGCAAAGTGCCTATGAGCCACCTCGCCTTTACTACAACATTGACCTTATTTGTGAATTCCAGTTCATCCAGTAGTAGCATTTTTAGGAAAATATGGAGAAGTGATACTGGGGTCCCTCACACAGCCATCTCAGTAAGTACACACCCTGTTAGCTCCCTTGTGAAAGTAGCAAAGATTTAAAGGCAGGGGTAGGGTGGGGATAGTCAAAATATTTCAGCCATCATGGTACACTGTGATACCCAAAGAGGCCATGCAAAAGTGACTTTTGGAGGTAGGCATCAGGCCACTGCATGCAGTTTTGGGGTGGCCAGGTGGGCATGGGCCATACCTCCCTACAGGACAATGGTCCCCTTCCCAGGATGGCAACTGTCTGAGTCTGCTATGGTAGCATCTGTAAGGGTGGGAGGAAGTGCAGGACAGCTTCAAGCGTGCAGGGGTGTCGGCTACTCCTAGGCTGACCCCTTGTAGTGCCCCCCAGGGCTTCTAGGGTAGAGGTGGCTGGTGTGGAAAAAGGATTCAGGGAGCTCAAGCCAGTGTTTAATTACCAACTGGCAAGGAGATTTACTATTTTTCTAATGTGCATTGCTGTATACTAGTAGCAGTTCTGGTTGTGACTCATGGACACTTGATGGCTTCCTGAAGAACACTGGATTTTTTGCACAGTTCTGAGACCAGAAAATCTCTGGGCTACTGACCATGCGTCCAGGGGCCAGTCTTCAAGAGCTTCCAGAATGTCTGGAGACTTGCTGTAAACACTCAGCAACAAAAGTTCAAAAGCCTTCAAAAGCCATGGGCAGAAAAATCCCAGGGCAGATGTAATCCACGGCTATGTCTTAACTCCAAGTGGACCTGAGCCTTATGAGGGCTAGAGATGATAAACAGGTATCATTTCAAAGGCCAGCACCAGTCAATCGCTAGTGGCTGCCTGATGCACTGTGTTGAGTAGGACTCCCAAGTTACATCCGGTCTCTAAAACTGAAAGAGTCCTATGGTTGGTGCAGTGGTGACACCTCACTCTAGCCTAGGGCTTTTTTTTTTTTAAAGCTTTTTGTGTGTGTCATGGGCCCCCTTTGCTACCTGGACATTCTTTTCAGAGTAATGCTTTTCAAAAATAAAATTAAATGCAAAGGAAGTCAAATCTTTTAAATAGAGTTAAATAAAGGTACTAAAAAATATTTCAGATACAGTAATATATTTGCATTTTAATGTATTCAAGAAGATCGAGGGGTAAGTACAGTAACTGTTGAATTTTGAAGCACTAATGAGTGTAAATGATATTTGAAACATCTGCAACAGCTGAATGTGATATGAATATATCTGTGGTTTTTATCATCAAAAACACTGATAATTCCATCATGACGTTTTGCCTATATTCATAGTAGAGGGAAATGTTACATGTCTGTTTAAGGTCAGTGTAAATAAACTGTCATTTTCTCCTATTCATATCCAGAGACCCCTTAAATTCTATCCATGGACCCCTGGGGTCCTGGGGAACATCCAGGGGCCCCAGGTTACTAACCTGTAATTGAGATCACATCAGACACTGCTTTGTCATACTGTTCTCTAAGATGTTTCAGGACTGGTACTCACTGAGGCCCAGAATTGTGCACATTGGCAGCTAACACCCATTTGTTTACCTAAATGTATATCATTTCATCCTTGGGGAGGTGGGACATATAGTATCCTTCTGGTTTCCATCATAGCCTCATTCCTGGGAAAATAGAAAACTCTCTCTTGTGTGTAAATTCCCTGGAAAGCTCAGGTTCACTCAAGGTCCACAAAATGGGACACCAAGGATCATGGCACTCATGAACTGACAGTTCCCTGGTGTTGAGTGAGGTCTGGGCTATCATCAACTGCCTTGGGTCTGGTCAGGTCAGAAGAGAAGGGACTCCAATAGAAGCCATCTACAATGCATTGATGGCACATGTCATGGAGAAGAATGGCTAACACCCCCTCCTTGACTGTGTTTGTAAGAGTTAATACCTCTTGCACATTGATGAATTTGTAATTACCTCCTTGTAAAAGTAGGACTGAAAACAAACCATCTTCTAGTCTTAGACTTTTAAATAAAAATCAGCAGTAGATTTTTATGATAGCATGAGTGGAATAAACTGAGACTAACCCTTTTACAATAAAAATGATACCCAAATTTGGTTGCTACTAGTTACTATATTCAGAGAAGAAAAAAGTGAACAGCTTCCACCTGGAACACCAGATGATATTACTCTGAGGCAATGTCAACCCAGCATTTTCTTCGCTCCTCTGAAACTCCAGAAGCAATTGTGCAAAACACATGTCCAGGTCTTGACCTCTGAGCTATCTGCCCAACATTTTATTCCTTGACCTCAAGTCTGCTCTGAAATAACCTAAACAATAAAGTGTTTGAGTGTTTCATTCTCACAGGATATATCCAGCAGTGCGGCATTCAAGAGCACAGACCCTATTTGGTCTCCCACGCTCTGAAGACTGTACAAGTTATTAACCACAGTCCTTAGTGGTCTATAATAGGCTTTGTGTGAGCTATGGTTTGCCCATAGACTTGCTGCTCATTCAGTAACTCCAAACAGTGAGACAAGGATAAGTTCCTCATTTCTGTTCAGAATCCTAGAAGGGAGAAAAGATTCTGTCAGGTTCAGTCCTTGGGGCCTAATGAGATTGGAACCTGTTCTTCCTTAACTGATCCCTGCCTACATCACATTTCTCCTTACACCCAGTCAACACTTGCCAAGCTCAAAGTCTGTAAGGAGTCACAGAAATATGCTAAAGGACTGACATCAGTATGCAGTATATAGAGAAGTAGGCTGGGAGAAAAACTGGTAATTATATTCAGGCTTAGTGATGATGATGGCACATGTATTAAGTGCCTCCTATAGGCTAGAAGTGATGTTATTTCTGAGCTCTCTATTCCATTCCATTGGTCTAGATGTCTCTTTATGTCAGCACCATGCTGCTTTGATCACTGTAGCTTTTGATGTGTTTTGAAATTAGGAAGCATGAGATCTACAACTTTGTTCTTCTCTGCCAAGATCCTTTTGGTTATTTGGATCCCTTGAAATTCCATATGAATTGTAGAATAGATTTTTTTCTATTTCTGCAAACAATGCCATTGGGATTTTGGTAGTGTTGGGCTGTAGGAACTCTGTTACACACTTTTAAAATATATTCCCATTTATTTCTTATGACAGCTTATGAGATAGGTACTATTATTATTTCCAAAATACTCATAAGAAAGCAGAGGCACATACATGTTAAACAACTTGCCTATGATCACACAAATATTGAGAGAGCCAGGTTTTGCACCCAGATAGCTGGACTTTGAATATCATCTACTTACCCATTGTCCTAAACAGCCTCCTTACTCAGGGTATGGGAAACCTAAAAAGTTTTTTCACTTTTATTGCAGAAAAAGTGAGGAGGAATGAGGAAAAATCAGCTAGCTGTTCACTAACATCCACTCTCCCTTTCTTTAAAAATAAGACCCTGAGTTTTTTGGTCACCAGACAGTGACTACATGTCTCAGCATATCCTGTGGTGAAGTGTGGCTATGTGAATAAGTTCTGTCCAATGGAGTGTCCGTGGAAGTGATTTGTGCACCTCCAAGGTTT